TTCTACACAGTGGTGCATTCTTTGTTTCTTTTTTCCTTGGCTGCTTGGCTCTCTTTTCATATTTCTTCACTTTTCCATTCCTTTCTTTTTCCATTCTTTTCTTTCTCTTTTCCATTCTTCCCTCACTTCCCCTCTTTCCCATTCTCTCTCTCGCCTTCTTTCTTTTACTTTAAAGATTCACAGTTTTCCTTCCTCAATGAAAACAAAGCTGAGAGTACATACTAGATGAAATTCACAGAGAAAAAGCAGAAGAAATGAATCTAATTAGCAATTTTCAGAATAAGTTGTTTCCTAATACCCTGTGAAGATCATTGACGTGTAAAAAATTGTCATTATGAACTCATAGATCTGAATACATTTTATCAGGTTAAAACCATTATAATTATTATTCACTTTGATGCCAAAATTGTCTCATCTTTGGCTAGCAGGAACTCAGCTCAAAAACTTCAAGATGGTTCCTGAGTCCTTCTGATAGGACTGCAGTCATCTCTGATTGTACAAGATGTCTAGGCTACACCTGTGCATTTCCTTTCTCAGAAAGGGAATTAGACATCTTTAATGTCTAAGCAATAATGTTCACTAGTTTCTGGTCTATATTTCCTCTCTTTGAAAAAATAAGAAAACATATACACAAACATGCATGCATATCTACATCTTATTTTCCCCCTTCTTTCTTACTCAAATGTTAGCATGCATATACACACACACTCATATACATACACAACACACACAAAATACACACATACTCACACACATGCACACTTTGAAGTTTTTTTGTTTTACTTTACAACAGGACCTGGACATCTGGTCTCCTATGAGTGGGTGTTTAAACTGTTTCCTACGTTTTCTCTGACACATCTCTACTCTGAACTTTACTTGTAGCCTTTCTGAATCACATCATTTCAGTTGTAGCTTTTGTACAAAGTGTAGAACTGAGTTTTCCTTCTTGAGCAAATCTGAATATCTTTTTATTCTAATAGGTAAATTAATTCCATTTACATTAATTTTTATGACTGATGTATTTGATCCAAACTCTCTCATATTATTTCATTCAGCATTTACCAGCTGTATTAGGTTATCTTTACTGTTTCATTATACAGCTTGTTTTATTTCTTGCATTTCTTTTTTTTGTTTTAGACGATTTATGTTTTGTTTTAGTTGTTACCCTTATGTTAAGACCTTTATCACATATCCAATCCTCTTGTTCTGTATTTATGATGCTATTTTTGGTTTGTCAGCTTTGAATAATATTATTTGTCTACAATTCATATTAAGTGGCAGTCAATGAGCATATTTTACATTAGCTCTCTCCCTTCTCCTCCACTTATTTCTTTTACTTTTTCTTAAGTTTTTATTTTGTAATGATTTCTGATTTTCAGAGGAGTTACAAAGAGAGTACAGAGAGTTCCCATGTAGACTTCACCCAAGTTCCTCAATGTTAGCATATTAATTAATCACGGCTCACTTACCAAAACAAGGATGTTAACTACAGGCTTTATTTTCTATTTTAACAGTTTTCCCACTAATGCCACTTTTCTTCTCCAGGATCCAGTCCAGGATCCCAGTTTGCATTTAGTTTTCATGTCTCCTTGTCTTCCTCCAATCTGTGACCGTTTCTCAGTGTTTCCTTGTCTCTCGTGACCTTGACAATATTGAAGATTGCTGATCAAATATTTTATAGAATGTCTCTAAATTTTTGGATGGTCTGATATTTGCTCATGATTAGACCTGTGTTATGGATTTTGAGGAGGCTATCACAGAAGTGAAGAGTCCTTCTCACTGTATCATATCGGGGTACATGACATCAACATGACTTATTACTGGTGATGTTAACCTTGACCACTGGGTTAAGGTGGGTCTGCTAGTTTCTCCACTGCAGAGTTAACTATTTCCCCTTTTCATACTCCACTCACTAGAAACAAGTCACTAAGTCCAGCTACACTCAGGGGAGGGGACTGTGCTGTATCTCCTGGAGGGAGGAGTATCACAGACGCTGTGGAAATATGTTGAGACCACCCCAGTGATTAATAAAATATTTGGGAGGGATATTTAGAGACTCTGAAAATGTCCTTTTTTTCCTTAAAGTTTTGCCCACCAAGGCATCTTGCCTACAGCAATTATTACCATTGTGTTCTAATAGTGGTGTTCTATTTCCCTGCTTCCTTCTACATGTATTAACTGGAAAGTATAGCTTATCTGGATATGAAATCCTTGGCTCACACTTTTTCCTTGAGTTTATTGAGTATATTGATCCACAGTTATTTTGCTTTGTATGGTCCTGTTGGGATGTAAATGTGACTTCCTTTCTTTGGAAGTAAGGTTGTGTTTCAGTAATCCATATGTGGGACTAAATAATAATATCAAAGTTTCCAATGAGTATTTTGCAAGATGTGGGGCAGATTCAATTCATAGGATGAAGAAGGTGATGACCCTGGCCGAACCTACCACACCTTTTACTCTCCTCTCCACATCCTAATCATCTTTCATAAACCACATCAATTCCTCCAGTTACAGGTCAAACCAATCTGAGGCTCATTTCTGCTCTTTTCACATTTTATGCACAGAATAATAAACAGAATTGTATAATGAGGTCAGTTACATAAAAGCCAGCGACATGATCATCAAATGACTTTAGTGAAGGTCGTTTGCCTTAACCTCATTGTCTCACAAGGCATCTTTAATTAATGTCACGGAGTTTATTTGTTTTGGGGACTGAACCTCCCCATAGAAATACACTGATGTCAGTGCAGGGAAATCGCTTCAGGATTTGATGGAAAATTTAGCTTTGCATTGTAAGGGACATAATTATTGACACTGACCTAAAAGAAAGACCTAATCTTTCTTTTAATCCCAAATATTTTGGTGACAAAATTTATAATCTGACATTTTATGACACCTAACAGCATAAAACAAATAACAAGATGTTACCAAACTCTTCTGAGTGGATCTAGGTAAGGGAAGTATTCTAATTTATTGTTAATTTTAATATTAGCATCCATAAATATTTATCTGAATTATTTGATATTTTTACATTGTTCTTAGATTTCAACTTCCTACTTATGGTTCCCGCTATTCTCAAAACTGAGGGCTATGAAACTAGGATGAGAAAATTCACTGCAATTCATGCTGACCTTCTCTGATTATAAGGCAGAATTTCAAAATGTACAGGTATGAACAAAGAGTAATTCTGTTAAATAATTCAGGCACATGCACTGAAAGTTATTTCTAGCTGAATAATTAAGTGGCTTATATTTAATATTTTAAAACAAAGAAATGAATAAAATTTTCAGCCTGTGCCATTATTTGGACATTTTAATTATGGAAACATGAACCTAGAGTGACCATAGAATTTATATGATGAGACACAAGTGTCAATATGTCGTAATGGATCGCTAAATAATGACAGAAGATAGCCTTTTCGTGGAAAAAAAACTTTGTTCTCAAAAACCATATTAATATTTAAATGATTTTCTCTTCTCCTAAGTGTTAGAAAACTAAAGTATAAAGGTAAGTGTAATTTTATTGGCTTTTAACCTACTCTGATATACTTCAGAAAATCTTACATAATTTTCCTAGGAAACAGAAAAATAGTTGGTGCGTCAATTCAGATAAAAGAATGATACTTAAATTTTTTAAAATAATGAATTTTGAATAATTTCCTTTGTAGATTCTTCTTCAAAATTGACAATCTCAACTTGCAGAAACCAAAGAGGTCACTGAGGACCATTGGTAGGGACTAAAAACAAGTTCACCCATCCCAGGTGTTCGGGGCGGAGCCAGGACTGGCATCAATACCGCTTTTTGTCTATAGCATTGTACAACTCTTATAAGAACTGTAAGTCACAGCTCACCTCAAATGTCGACAATCTAATAAGGAAACTGTGCACACACATATGAAACGAAAAGCCATGTAGAGTATATACAAGCAATTCTAGATTGTGTTGGGTGTATACAATATGCCCGTGGATTCAGAAAATGGAGTTCAGTGCGTTCTAGGGCAATTAGTTAAAACTGTATTAAGTAGAATTATATGTAAACTATGCTTTACATGAAGAAGGAAAAGATTTTGGTATTTGGGAAAACTCAACAGGAATAATGGCAAAGACAAAGTCACTGTTTACGGAAATGTGTGTGAAACCTGGGAAAAGGGACAACAGAGGTAACAATCCATGTACATTTATTTTCTTATATTTCCAAAGTAATTTTCTTTAAAGACGAGAGTCCTTTCCTTAATCCTTTGCTTTCTTTTACAATTCATGAGATATAAATTTAATATATCTGTTGTATACTCTTTCCAAACACTCACTCCACTGGGAGACTATTGAAAACTTCTTGTTTCAGTTAAAATGTGTGCATACGGGGGCCAGCCCCGTGGCGTAGTGGTTAAGTGTGTGCGCTGCACTGGTGGCGGCCCAGGGTTGGGATCCCAGGTGCCCACCGATGTACTGCTTGTCAGCCCATGCTGTGGCAGTGTCCCATATAATAAGTGGAGGAAGATGGGCACAGATGTCAGCCCAGGGCCAGTCTTCCTCAGCAAAAAGAGGAGGATAGGCATGGATGTTAGCTCAGGGCTGATCTTCCTCACACACAAAAAGTGTGTATATGAATGAAAACTGATTTCAAGTTTATTTTAAGGATCTTTAATACATAAACTAACACTGAAATTTATTTAGCAACACTGAAGAAAATATGGATACACTAAATTTGTACACTATTGTTGCATAAATTCATCAAGACAAACCTTTTCCACTGTAAGCATTCTCCCTGGAATTATCAAAAGATTCTTGGGAATCCTGAGTTTCAGAGTTGAGATCACTGGAGCTAACATTTTAGGGGAATGAATGTTCCCGAGAGATTGTGTGCCTGTATCCTAGAGACAGTAGGGTAAGCTTAAAGAAGAAGCTCCTCTCCTTGCCGTAAAAAGAAAAATTTGAAGAGACTATTATACATACTCTAAATCAGTATCTTATATCTCCATAATTCTTGTCTCAACAGAGAAGATGGACATGATTGAAGATAACCACTCCTTGACAACTGAGTTTATCCTCACAGGATTCACGGATCACCCAGAGCTGAAGACCCTCCTGTTTGTGGTGTTCTTTGCCATCTATCTGATCACTATGGTGGGAAATCTTGGCTTGGTGGCACTGATTTTTATGGAGCTCCGTCTTCACACGCCAATGTAGATCTTTCTGGGCAACCTGGCTCTGACGGATTCCTGCTGTGCCTGTGCCATTACCCCCAAGATGTTAGAGAACTTCTTTTCACAGGACACAATGATTTCCCTCTATGAATGCATGGCACAATTTTATTTTCTCTGCCTTGCTGAGACTGCGGACTGCTTTCTCCTGGCGGCAATGGCCTATGAGCGCTGTGTGGCCATCTGCAGGCCACTGCAGTACCACACCATGATGTCGAAGAAACTCTACATTCGGATGACCACAGGGGCCTACGTCGCTGGACACCTGCATTCCATGATCCATGTAGGGCTTCTGTTTAGGTTAACTTTCTGTGGGTCTCATCAAATCAATCACTTTTTTTGTGATGTTCTTCCATTATACAGACTCTCCTGTGTGGACCCTTATATCAATCAATTGATGATATTTACCTTTGCAGGGTCAGTCCAAATCTTCTCTATTACCATAGTGCTGATCTCTTATCTCTGCATCCCCTTCACAATTTTCAAAATGAAATCCAAAGAGGGAAGAGGTAAAGCCTTATCTACATGTGCATCCCACTTTCTCTCTGTCTCGATATTCTATGGTTCTCTTCTCTTCATGTACATTCGACCAAGTTCAGTTAAAGAAGGGGATAAAGATATACCCGTTGCTGTTTTTTATACAATAGTAATTCCTTTATTAAATCCTTTTATTTATAGTCTAAGAAATAAGGAAGTAATAAATGTTATGAAAAAAGTTATGAAAATAATTTCATAACATTGTGAAACAAATATCCTCTGTGGAATAATTGATTTTAATTTGATAAAACTTTTTTCAAAATCAAGGAACACAGAGGAAGTAGAAAATGGTCACTTTGTATATAAAACAGTAAGTTACTAAAACATGATGGTGTATGAGTCAAATAAATAAGTTCAGAAAGGAGAGATTCTGCTACCATTGGTTCCAAATCTAAGCTAGTAAGGTCTATCAGGAGTGAACTAAATAGTAACTCTTGAGGTCACAAATCGTTTCAGAGTATAATTAGTTACACTAGTAACTACCTATTTCAGAGGATAGCGAGTTACAGTTTTCAACAAACCCAACAAATGCTAGGAATAGAATTCTGTATGCACAGAAGGTCATCTCCATTTAATTTGTCGGCAAATATCTGGAATCACAAAACATAATCTTACAAACTCCAGCACATTCCAAGTTCTCAAATATTAAACCCTTCTTAAGCAACTCCATATGTTAAAAGTAAACTGTATATTTAAAAATTTAATTCAAAACTTCTTTGATTTTGTTCAAGAGATGCTGTTTGAAATTTAATTCACACATAATATGTATTCTGTAATCAAGAACATTTTCATCTTTAATGGTAGTTTTACTCTCCAGTTCTCTGAAATAGAATATCTGTGCACTGCTGAATTATTAATCTGTAGTTGAAAATGATGTTATTTACACTGAAATCCATATGTATTTGAATATTTTAGTATAGTTTAATTAGTTATTCATCATAAAGGACAGTGAAATCCTAAATATAGTACTAAATAAAGGGGTTCTTTTTTGATATTATTACTTGTTTGTTTTTAGGAATACCACCAACCTGGGCTGATGCCAGTGTAAATTATTGATATTTTCACAGCATTAACAAAAAGCTGGAGGTGCTGTTCAAGCATAAATGTGGCAGAAAATAGTGAAAATTCTAAATATCTAAAAAAAATATTTATTGATTACTTATGTGTGCAAACATGAAAGAAAAAATAATTTCTTGGGAACCTAATGTGTTCTAGGCACTAAGTTAGACCTTTCAAACATATTACCTACCAATTGGTTAGACAGGATTTTTCATGCTTTTCCTCAGTAAAAATATCATACTTTGAAATATTGAGTTGTTCATAGAGGTCTTTCAAACCGAGCGAGAATTTGAATCAATACTCCCTTTTCCCCACACGCTTGGGAGGTCAGAAAATGGAGATCCTTCTAGCCTGGGTATTTAGTTCTTAAGTAACATCAGAAGTAACATGTGCCTTAAAAAATGGTTTAAAAAACCCGTTAGTGAGCTGTTGCTGAGTGTGGGAAATAAGGGAGGAACTGGATCAGGTTATTGAGAATCTTAAATACCACCCTCAGGAATCTGAATTTACCTTAGAGGCATCAGACACTGAAGTCTTCCTGGAGCAGAGTAACATGATTGTAAGTTTCAGAAAACTGATCTGATTGGAGAGAGGCTGGAAGCAAGGAGACTAACTTCAATAGTTTACATACTAGATGATGGGAGCTGAAACTGGAGAATACTTTAAAAAGAAAGGAATGCGCAGATATAAGAAACATTTAAAAAAGAAAGTAACTTGTAACTCTTGGGTAATAAAGTGAAGGCCTGTCTCCTCCTGTGAGTAACATCCATGTCATAACTGATCTCATATCACCAATACTGAATAAGGTGCCTGCCACATTTGCCCATTCAATAAACATTCCTTCAGTATGTTTTTAACATAATTATTTAAGTTAATATGCAATAGGCTTATTATTTTGATTTTTGAATGAATTAATAAATAAGTAATTTTTAATTTCTCAGTTCTAAATTCTCATATTGTAAATACCGATAGATATAATGCACAGAAACAAAGCTCTTTAGGGTCTAATATATTTTACGAGTGTAAACAAATTCAGATACCAAACATTTTGAGAAGCTCTGGATTAGATGGATGCTGTGTCTCCTGCATCCACCCTCTATTTGAGTGGATATTTTTAGCTGTCAGACTTGCAGGCATTCATTCCCTTTCTCTTTTCTAAGGGGACCACAATTCCGGTTATGTATTTCTGCACCACCCACCCCCAACCCATAGCAACACTGAATCCCAGAAGTCTGCTAAGGGAAGAGTATGTGCCTTTTTGGGGGCCAATGAGACAAAAGAGGAGATTTTCTGGGAAATATGTTTCCTTTGTTTCAGAAGAGATCCCTCAAAAGGGTAGTGTTTGTCCCTCTGAATTTCACGGTGTGTGGATATGACATCTGCCACAGGCTACGTCCATCCTGCCATCCAGAGAGTAACGAGCCTGGAGATGAAATCAGCCCACAAGGGTGAGCACAGCTGAGGGAATCACAGAGGAACAGACCCAGAGTCTCTGGAATAAACCATCCTTTCTGGTTGTATAATCCAACAGATCTTCCCACTGTTTATGCTTGTTTGGAAAAGATGCTTTATTTGCAACTGAATAAATACTGACTGACACATTCATGTCCCTTGTCTCATCTCTCATTTTATACTCTCTTTTAAATTAATCCTCAGACACTCTTTCAGCTTATACATACTCTTCAACACTATCCATTTAACTATTCAGCACATCTACTGTCTTTTAATTTCATTACGATATTTTAATTTCCTATAAACTCAGTGAAAAAAATGAGGGACAGAGAGGCTTCATAATTTGCCCACAGAAATACTAAGGTAGAGCTCAGGGACCAAACCAGACTATCTGGCTGCACAACCACGTTCATAACCACCGAGTCATACTGTACACAGCACAAGGAATTAAAGGTAGCATGAGAGGGACACTTTCAAGAAGCCAAGCTGTCAAGTGGGCTGAGAAATGCTAAGTGGAAAAATAAGAAAGATAATGGGTAACATGAATTCCTTTTCCAAGACTTTTATATTTAACTTCATTACATGTGTAATTTCAATGATGCCTTTTCAAACTTTCTTGGAAGATATAGTTTCCTTCTGCAGGTACTGAACAATATTCTGTTACCATTATGGGCATTTACCAAGCCTTAGTGCTACAGTAACATGGAAAATTCTTGACATGTTCTTTGTCAAGTAAATTGACTTTTATAAATATCTAATTAATTCCTAGATCATATCAAGGAAAGCAGTATATTTCAAGTAAGCTCCAAAGAATTGGAAAAAAAGAAATCTTGATATTCTTGGAAATATGTTTTTGTATATGAGAATACTAAGAACCTTTCATTATGCTTTGAAAAATAAGACTCTTGTCTTATTTCTATTGGGTTATGGAGAAATCACGTTGTTGTTTAAACATATTTTTAAATACTTAGAGCACATGTTCTGTTTAATTATCTTATCCTGGTGAACTGAGACTTCTATAGTTAAAGCTTTAAGAAGAAATTATGTCTATCTATGCCTCCAGGTTTCATCTGATTGATCAGAGTGCCAGTGCACATGAATGCGTGGTAAACACCAGAAGGGAGGGAGCCAGAACTGAAAAGTAATGTCATTCTTTTCAGAATGAATGTTCCTTGTCAACTTCTCTGTTAATGCTTAAAGGCAAATATGAACACATTACCGCCTTGTTCAAAATCCTTCAATAGTTTTCCTTCAATTTGGCGTAAAGCACAAAGGCCCTGACCTGGCCTCCAGACCCCCTGTGATCCCACCCAGGCTGGCCTCCCAGACCCCACCTGGCTCCTCCTGCTTTTCTCTTGGCATGCCAGCTACATTTACCATGTTGAGCTACCCCAGTGACCTAGCTCTCTGATAACCTAGGTCCTCCAGTGAAGAAGGCCCTGTGGATGGCAGGTGTCCACAAGCATCACCTTGTTAGAAATGAAGACCCTCAGGCCCCACCCAGGCCTCAGACACAGAATCTGCATTTTAACAAGACCTCCAAGAGATTCACAGGCATTAAAGTTTGGGAAGCTCTGATCTGGGCCTCCTTCCGCTGTGGTCCTCTGTTGTTTTTCCTTGGCTCCTCTCTGACCTTTGCCCAGTAAGATTTCTCAGCAGATTTCAGCTTAAAGAGGGGAGTTAGGTCCAGGTCTGAATGTGAGTTGCAGTTTGCATGAGGAGGTCAACATTCTGGGGGTTGTTTCCTGAAGGGAATGTAGAGCTCTGGCCTTATTAAAATTGTGATTGATTAGCTCAGACAAGACCATGCTAATCAAAGCTCTCAGAACATCAAAATTTATACATAAACTGGAGTTTGCATAAACATACCAGAATGTCATCTGTGGTGGAAATTTCAAGTGTTAAAATTAGCACTGTCTACAATGACTTGATGTTCATGATTTTAGAGTCTGTAATGCCCTGTGGGACAACCTGGACTTCTCACACATGTCCAAGCCCACAATGCCCAGAGCAACAGCTTAGCTTTGTCCTAAAGGGAATCCTCGGGCGCTATCAGGGGAATTTTAGTTCTTCACTCCTTCTTCTTCCGGCAAAAGCATATTTGTTCAATTGGTTGACTCTTGTATTCAGAGAAAATTAACATAAACAACATTTTCCTGAGCTTGGGAAATGAAGCCTTCAAAATATATCAGTGTGCAAAGAGTCACTACCTATGTTATTGTCATTCTTGTGCTATTGTATATTTTTCTGCATTAGAAAGCCTCACTCTTTGAGCAGATCTCCACAATTTCTTACAAGATATGGGTAAGAGAAAAATGAATTCTGTAACATTCAGTATTTTTTATAGAATCTAAAATAGTATTTAATTAATAATAATTTTATATTGGGTTTATAAGATATCAAAATAGCCATGTGGAAATGAGAAGAAAATAATTAATTGTGTATTTTATTTTATAACTAACTTTGGGATATGTAAAATAGTATAAGACTGAATTGTTCCTGCTACAATGTTTTATTATTTTGTTAATCTAAGCATAATGATTTTATAAGGTAAATTTTAGTGAACTAAAAAGTTAAATAATTAAACGTGGGTTTAAAGTTTCAGTTCACATGATTTTTATATAAGAAATCATACTGGTGATTCGGACAAAAAAACTCATTCTCTTTAATTAACCAGTGGTTAAAACT